GAAGGGAATCCCAAAGGCTGGGAGATGCCTCAGGCAGAACATTCCAGACCTTGAAGGGAACATCCCAGACCCCGAACAGAACGTTCCAGAACTCAAGGGAAACATTCCTGACCCCGAGGAGAACATCCCAGAACTCAAGAACATTCCAGAACTCAAGGAGAATATTCCCAACCTTGAGGGGAACATCCCAAACCTCAGGAAGAACATTCCAGAACTCAAGGAGAACATTCCAGACCCAGAGGAGGCACAACCTTCGGGAGCCCATCCCAGCTCCAAGGTGACCATCCCAGCTCCGAGGAGCCTATCTCTGCTCGGAGGTAGCCATCCCAGCTCTGAGGAGCCCATCCCAGCTCCGAGGAGCCCATCCCAGCTCCGAGGTGGCCATCCCAGCTCCGAGGTGGCCATCCCAGCTCCGAGGTGGCCATCCCAGCTCCTAGGAGCCCCATCCCAGCTCCGAGGTGGCCATCCCAGCTCTGAGGAGCCCATCCCAGCTCCAAGGAGCCTATCTCTGCTCAGAGGTAGCCATCCCAGCTCCGAGGTGGCCATCTCAGCTCTGTGGCCATCCCAGCTCCAAGGAGCCCATCCCAGCTCCAAGGAGGTGGCCATCCCAGCTCCAAGGATCCCATCCTAGCTCCAAGGTGGCCATCCCAGCTCCGAGGTGATCATCCTGGCTCCGAGGTGGCCATCCCAGCTCCAAGAAGGCCATCCCAGCTCCAAGGAGCCCATCCCAGCTCCGAGGAGCCCATCCCAGCTCCGAGGTGGCCATCCCAGCTCCGAGGTGATCATCCCAGCTCCGAGGTGATCATCCCAGCTCCGAGGTGATCATCCCAGCTCCAAGGAGCCCATCCCAGCTCCGAGGTGATCATCCCAGCTCCGAGGTGGCCATCCCAGCTCCAAGGAGCCCATCCCAGCTCCGAGGTGGCCATCCCAGCTCCGAGGTGGCCATCCCAGCTCCGAGGTGGCCATCCCATCCGTGCAGCTGTCCCGGAAGGAGCCGGAACGCGGCCGATCCCATTGTTCCCGATCTCCCGCAGAGCTCATCCTTGGGCTCCGGGCACGGCCACGGTCAGGGCTGAGGTCCGAGTTCCCTTTCCCCGGCCCCTCCAGCTTTGGCAACAGTCACAGGCTACACATTCCCGGGAAAAAACAAAAAAAACCCA